CGGCCCGAGGCGGCGGCCCAGGCGGCGCAGAGGATACAGGTGGCTCGCTTCCGAGCCAAGTTCGACCCCCGGGTCCTTGCCAGGTAAAGCGCCACGTGAGGAACTGGCCTGGGACTGGGCTGACAAAGAAAAATCCCTGGCCAAGACCGCCTCAAGGTTTCCTTCAGCTTGACTCAATTTTGGACAGGGTTCTTTCGGATGATAGACCACTGATCTACCCTTCTCTGCCCTTTTAAGATGTAAATCTTCTACAACCCAAGAGTGTCCTTTTCAAGCACCTGGGAGCCATCCCTTTGAAATGTAGTCATCAAGAGAGTCAGGGCCACTGTCTCCCAGTCTCTGTGGGAGGGTAGGAGCCTAACTTCCATTAGGGCCAGGTAGCAAACACAGATCTCATTGACCACCTCTCCCTAACCTTCCCCCATTCTTTTCCACTAGCTCACCCCAGCGCTTAAAAACTTTCTTGCCTTTTCTTTCAAAGGCGTCCATTTCCTTTCCTCTGTTGCAGAAGCCTTGACCCCTATTGCAATAGTCTGGGATAAGCCTTCTTTGCTGTGTTCCGTAAGTGCCCAGTACAATTTATCTTTGACATCTCTGAGCAGGGAGTTCAGAGGATGGGAAAAAAGAGAGCAGGAGCAGCAGCAAACAAGGGAAAGAATTCCTGTCTTCAGAGGTGGGGTGTGGGGCTGTGAGAGGACTGCCTACCAACCTCCAGCATCTGTGGTGGAAGACAGCTTTGCCACCAATATCCTGGGGCTGGGTCCTACCAGACCTGGTGTGTGAAGGATCTTCCACTAAATTCTAAAAATTGGGATTACAGTGAGTGAACTAGAGACGCGCCTTTGAGTCAGCCAGGCTTAAGGTCCAGTTCCATCTCTTCTATCATGTACCATTTCGACTATTCCTTAGCTTTTTTCCTTCCTTAGTTTCTGCCTCTGTAAAATGGGAGTATCTATCTCATAAGACTGTTGGCAGCATAATTAAAGTAATACATGCAAATTATGCTGCACAGTGCATGGCACCAGTCCTCCTGTAGACATTAGTGCAATGCTGATTACTGTCTTCATGAAGTACAAATAAGCCCTCGCTATGTAGAAGATTGCAAGTTGGTTGGCCTCCTCAGAGTGTACCATGTTGGACATGTTGGACATTTTGACCAAGTAAATCACAGAATCCCCTTCTCCTCTGTGTGTTTGGGGGCACACAATAATGGGTGGCTCAGCTGGCTTCCCAAGGCACTTCTGGTCCTAGAATTGCATGCTCACTTCATCACAGTGCTCTGTCCAGAATCTATGCAGAGCCATTTCCTGGCTCTTTGAGAACTTTTAATGACTCCTGGAGGATTAGTCCAGTGGCTGCTAAGTTTAGAGAAGAATAAGACTGGCTAATATGACTGAACTGAATCTGAGTAGGTACAGGGTCTTGTCAAGACTGAATTGGTTAAATAGCATCTCTGGTCATTTGTAGTCAGAGAGTTGATGCTAGTCTGATCTAGTCTTCATCCACCCTCCTCATTCCCAATCTCCGGGTAGACCCAGCCCCATAGAGTGTAAAGGGATCACAGAAGTAGAGGATCTCAACATTACAAGGGCTTCAGAGACTGTAACTCAAGGCTCATCTTTAACCAATGAGTAATTGAGTTCCCAAAGGTTAAGTGATGACTTGTCCAAGTTAATGGTAGAATTGGGACTAGAACACAGTCATCTTTCTTCTCCATTGTGATTCCATCTATAACTTTTGCAGAAAAAAGATGATAGAATTTAAATATGAGTATATTTACTTTCTTTTTTTTTTTTTTTTTTTTTTTT